AAGGAGAGATACATGGGAGGGTTTGGAAAAATGGAAGGGGGCAATGATGTGATTATTAAATCTCAGAATATAAAAGAAATAATTTTTAAATGTTTTTGTTTTAATTTAGATGTTAAAATATAGAAGCAGAGGACAGTTCTGTGGTTGCCAGGGAGACAAAGTGAAGGAAAACATAATAAGCTAATAAAACATACACAGTTATAATAATTATGAAGAGTGAATAAATCTAGAGCTCTAAACTATAATAAAAATAATGCTGTATCATATACTGGAAATTTGCTATGATAGAGTTCAGGTGTCCTTCATGAACACACACACACACACCAGGTAATGTTTCAAGGTAAGCATATGAATTTGCTTGTCTAGTAATTATATGTATGTATATATCAAAGCACTGTGTTGCTCACCTAAAAAATTATATATATATATATATATAAAAAAGACAAGGAAGTGGGAATCCACTTTTCCTTAGACTAGCTGTTGGGTGTGTATAGTTTCTGACCTTTTCCTGTGCCATCTCTAGCTGTTGGGTGTGTATAGTTTCTGACCTTTTCCTGTGTCATCTCTAAATGTGTCTTTTTGTGGTATGGGCCTCCTGAAGTGCTGTCTGACCTCAGATTTCCAAAGTCTCTGCCCAGCTAAAATATGTACCAGTTTTGTGAGAATTCTTTCCTGCTTGCAAATCCATGATCACATGTCAGGCCTTAAATGTACAGGGTGAATCACTCATTAAACCACACAGGGATCCAGTGTGATGACTCAGCTTGTCCTTCCAGAAGTAAGCAGGCAGAGACAGGAGGATGGCGGCAAGTGTGAGGGCAGTCTAGTGAACAAGTAAGCTCCAACCAGCTACTGAGTAAGATTCTGTGTCTTCAAATTTTGTCTTCAGACCAATTTGTCTATGTAAAAATCATAGGCAAAAAAATGCAAAGTAAGATTTTGGGTTAGAAGAGACTCTCAGGAAGCGATGCAGTCCATGTCCTTCGTGAAGAGCGTCTGTGGTCTAGGGATATCCCTGTCAGTCTGATCAAGAGCTGAGCCTCTGTCCTTCACCCTGAACTCTGATTGCTGACATCAGTGTGGGAGGCTGCTAGCTGTCCATCATCCTTCTTCTGCTGGATTGATGAGGAGGCTGTCTCACACCTGGGGACCTACTCTTCCACCAGTTGTTACAAAAAAAAATCAGACAAAATGTCCTTGCTGATGTTTGCATAATCTTGGAAGCTAAAATTTTACAGCTTGAAAATTTGTCAAGTTATGAAAAAAGGTAAAAGAAACCAAACTTAATGAGGCAAACAGCCATTAAAAATTCATTTTCTGCTCAATATTTTTAGCCATTAGGGAAATACAAATCAAAACTGCATTGAGATTTCAGCTCATTCCAGTCAGAATAGCTGTTATCAGATGATAACAAATGCTGGTGGGTGATAGAGGTGAAGAAAAGTTCATTCTCTTTTATAGTAGGAATTTAAATTAGCACATCTACCGTGGAAATCAGTACAATGGTCCCTCTACCATATAATCCAGCCATAACATTCCTAGGTTGTTTTACAAAGTAAATGCAGCCAGCATGCAAAGGTGTTGACTTCGTCCCCATGTTTATTGGCACTGTTCACAAAACCAAGATATGGAGGCAGACAAGGTAGACAAGGTACCCATAAACAAATGAGTCAATGAAGAAGATAGGATGTGTATACACAATGGAGTGTGTATTACACACACACAGATACACACACACACGCGAATGGAATTATATCATTTACAGGAAAATAGAAGGAACACATGGAGGACATCTGGTTAAGCAAAGTAAGCCAGACATAAAAAAGACAAGAATCACATGATACAGAGAAACCAAGCATTAAAAATAAGGATTGGGACTACGGCTCCATGGTAGACTGCTTGCCTACCATGTTCCAGTCCCTAGGTTCCATTCCTTGAGACTGGAAAATAAAATACAAGAAAAATTGAAAACTTGCTGGAAAGTAGAAGAGAGCATATTAATGAAGGGAACCAGGACAGCAGGAGGAGAGAGGGGGCATGAGAGGACAGAAAGGAAGGCGGCCATGTTAACAACATAGTACTGACCACATGGAAATGTTACAACACAGCCCATTAATTTGTAAGAATACACTATACTTATTTTGAAAGTACGTTTCAACAGGCAAATGGTGACTTATATATGCAGCCTTCATATAGCACCGAAACCAGGTTGCACTTGTTTTATGAAACATGTCCCAGCCAACACTGATGACTGTGTTCCTGCCTTTGTCACCCAAGCCTCCTCTAGCATGTTTCCAAGATAGTTTGGTTCTTTTTCTCTCTCAACACCCCTGTCAGACTTCATTTCTTTATTTTCTCCCATCTGGGACATGCCTCATGTTTCTCCATCATTGTTCAAAGTCTTTTATATCCTTACTTTGCAATGTCCAGCCTGTACTGCACCACTGCCTCCAGCTGCTACCCTTCCTCATTGGTCCCAACTGGTTCCATTGGCACCTTCAGATACCATAAAAAGCAGAGTGATTTGTGTCTACCCTGGACCAGCTACTGTGCCAGATGTTGGGGCTTAAAATACTAAAGGTATTTGGAAGAATGGGACAATATAAACTGTTAAAGGGCTTGGAGAAGGTAAGAGAAACATCAGTGTATTCTGTAAGTGTGAAACACAACAATTCTCAAAGCCTTGGGATAAGTTAGAGTTATTTGTGTCATTCATTGGAAAAGTGTTTACCAAAAAACACACATGATTACCTTTGACATGCAAAATTGATGATTTTCAAGGCAGTTATAAAAAGAATAATGTCAATAATTCAAAAGCTTTGTAAGGCAGGGAACTCTTGTCACATAATTTTGTGGCTTTACTAGCCACCCTCCAAGGGCACACAGCTTCATCCTAATGAAGGTTTGGACTGGGGGAGATGTACAGAAGACCTAGGTCTAAATATTACTGCGTCACATGCCAGTTTATTTCTCTGTACCTGAATTTCCTTCTCAGTGAAATGCATATGCACTTAGATCAGAGGCTTTTGAGAACATTGAGTGAGACAATGCATATAAAGTACCTTTCACAGTATCTAGCACATAGTAGGAAGTAGGTGTTAATACATTTTTATATTCTCTAAAATACCCATAATGCAAATGGCTCCTGCATCAGTCTAATGATAACAGTTTTACTGCTTCTCATGACTGAGAGGCAGGTTGGCCACTACAGGTTAACCTTGTTAACCCAGTAATTTTGCTAATAGCATTCCTTTGACATATCCTGGTTTTTATGAGTTGCGCAGTCGCTCTAGTTATAGAAACTGCTTTACCACTTCAAAGAACTGAACATAAGAGGAGGCATGAGTAGCACTCCAGGCCAGCTTTGATGCTCACTAGCCATGTGACCTGGCCAGTCTCTGAACTTGGCTGATTAGTAAATGCCAGTTCATTTGGGTTGTTGTACAAAACAAAACAAAACAAAACAAAACCAACAGCAACAAAAATCTATGGACAAGGTAGATTGAAAACATCAGAGATGTTATTTCCTAATAAATTAGTTTTAGGATCTCAGAAGTCCAAAATGAACATGATGGCAGATATGGATGATGCTGGTGAAATTCTGTTCCCTGCTTCAAAATGGTACCTTCCAACCATGTACTCACATAGTGGAAAGGATGTGTGATCCCCTGAATTCTCCTTAGAAGCATAACAAACCCATTCATAAGGGTCCCTCTTTCACCGCCTAATCATTGCCCAAAGTCTTTCACTTCCAACTGCCCCCAACACTGCCTGCAACTTCACAACACATGAAGGTTAGGAGAGTGCACTCATCCAGTCTGCAGCAGCAAAGCTTGCTCGAGGTTGAAATTGGATGATTGTTACTAGGGAATTTGGGGTTCCCTTTCGAGTTCTTAGTCTCATTAAGAAAATAATTTAAAAACCAATTCAGAGGAAGTTCAAAGACAATTTTATCAGAGTTTAAGAGAAAGAGGGCAGAGCAGAGCAAGCTATGCATCTCTGCAGCTGTTATGAAAAAGGAAATGAAAAGAAAAGAGAAAAACTGGTGTCTTTTTGAGTCAGTATTCAAGAAAGGCAGCGTGCTCAGCAAAGGAAGCCAGCAAACAAACAGCTGTGAGAAGGAAGTAGAGGAAGCTATTGGAGAAGAAGTGAGAGAGCCCAGAGTCTCAAAGAAAGCATCCTGGGGCTTTTGTTCAGTACCTGAAAATGGGGTAAACATAAAGGAAAGGAAAACACGCTTAGTGCCCACATTAATTATTTTTCTGATGCTGTGGTAAAACACCATGACCCAAAACAAGTAGAGAACAGCCCGTTTTCAACTTGTGGGTCACGACCTTATTAGGAGTTCATATCAGATTTCATGCATTTCAACTGTTTACATTTTTGATTCATAACAATAGCAAGACTACAGTTATGATGTAGTAATGAAATAATTTTATAGATCGGGGTTGTCACATCATGACAAAATGTATCAGAGAGTTTTAGCATTAGGAAGGTTGAGAAACACTGGTATAGAAGGAAGGGTTTATTTGAGCTTGTAATTCCAGAAGGAAAGTTCATAATGGTCAGGGAGGATTGGTGGCTGGTGGTAGGCCACTCTGAGTGAAGTATATTCTCCAGCGAGGCTGTGTCACCTCCCCAAACAGCTCTACCAACTTCAGACCAAGTATTAAAATAAGTGAGCCTAAGGGGGTATTTCTTGTTTAAACCATCAGAGTGCAAGGCCACAGAGCTGAATTCAGAGAGCACCCTATTCCAGGCTCCTGTGTTTAAGGATGAGGGATAATACCAGAGATACTTTTTTAGAAGTAGTAATAGAGAGTGTATTAAGGAAGTAGATATTAGGGTTTCTGCAGTGATGGGAGAGCCAAGGAATGCCACAGACATCTCTTTATACAACAGATCTCACCCAAAAGCTTTGTGGGGGAAAAAAGAGAGAGGCTGTGTTGGCATGGGCTTCATAAAGGGTATAGCACATGCACATAAGGAGAATACGCTACCTGTGGAAATGTGTCACATTTGGCAGTTAGTGATGACTTGGCTGCTGGCATTGAGTTACTGAAAGCGGTTGCAGGGAGCACCTGGTTCTAGAATGTGGGTGGTTCTCAATTGACCAATTGGAGAAGCATTCCAGAGACTAGGAGTGGGCCAGTCACAGAGGAAAAAATGCCTATAAAACTCTGAACCACTGGGAGCCTGGGTCTGTGTAGGGCATTCACATACATCTGCTTTTCTTGCCATGTTTGTGCTGCTTGGACTTTTCTGGGCAGACTGTGTTGGTGACATTAAGCCCAGGTGAGGAAGGCCTTCCAGTCTTTCTCTGCCAACTGGCTCCTTTCATAGGTTAATCTTGATGTTCTGGTCTCCAGCCCCTACTCTCTCACCACACAATAATGCCAACCGACTTCACCCTACTTCACATGGCTGTTAAAGTAACTGCATGAATACACAGACCCTGGGACAAAGGACTGTATACAGGGGTGTAGCTCATTGCTCTTCCCTGGCACCTGGCATGGGTGAAGAGAAGACAAACCCGATCAATACGGGCTTTTCTGAGGAGCTGCCTACAAAATGAGAGGCCTGCCACCCTTGCTGCGAGGCCAGCTTCTGCTAGCAAGAAGGTAAAGAGTCCTCTGGCGCTGTGTCCCAGAGCACTCAGGAGAGAGGGACCCTACAGTTCCTGATTACAGTTCTTAGCTGTAATCATCCAATTACACCCTTTTATGTTCTATTTTACTACATCTGAAAGGGCCAGGGGTATCTAGATATCTAATAGCTACTTTAGCCTGAAGGAAAGCTGCTAAAAATAGCCACTCTATCTGTGGGCGGGGTTCCAGGAAATGCCTGGCTTCTGAGCAGTGTGGTGCTTTGCTAATCAAGCTCTTGTCTCAATCACTTGACCACGTTCTTTGCGGAGATCCCAGCGCTTGCATCTTGTTTGTACCAAGTGCCACAAAAGCACAGGATCTTAAAGGAATTAAGGCAAACAAAGCAGACTTGAAGATGGATCCTGGGTGTGCAAGGGGAATTTTAAATTAAGTTAAAAATTGGGAACTAGTATTTCACACCATACCATGACCACAAAGAACCTTGTTTCCCTGTGAATGAGATTGCTTCTAGACTCCCCTGCCCTTAAAGGAGATGTAGGTAAACTAAAAGGTAAATCTGGTGGAAGTCTCCAGTAGAGACACGGGTGTTCTTGACGGTGTTGCAGAATGCCAGCACAGAAGATGGCTCTGAGACTTGTGTGTGTATTACAAAGGGCATAGACAAAGGTTGCTGAGGATGAATTTTCACTGTCAGAATTTTGAATCTGGCATTTTCCTTGAGTCTAAATGTTATATTAATAAATGGTAACTATAATTTAGTGCCACTGCTAGTTTTTAATTTAAATTGAAGTCAGTTATTAAAAGGTCAAACATTACCAATGCTTCATAGGGAAGCATACTATAGAGATGAAATTCGATGTATATGTCTTCCAAAATTTTGTACCCATCTTTAGTTAGCAATAAGGAATAAAGGATTAAAATCCACAGCTGAATTACTAATTTCCTTTGAACTTTATTGGAATAAATGAAAATATAACTCTGCCTAGCATAAAGATAAGGGCTTAATTATTCACCTGCTAGACACATAAATGAGGTGTGTGTGTGTGTGTGTGCGTGTGTGTGTTTTAATCTAATTGAACTATTAATGCAATATTCACTAGAGACATTTTAGAAAGTTTTTTTTTCATGCTTCACTTTTGACAGAACAAGTTGTGAATTTAATTAAGAGCATACTTATGGAAGTAAATCCATAGCAAATGTTTTGTCATGAAGAAATAAATACCTTTACATGTAGTAGACAGGACTATTTTGAAGAGGGAATTGATTCCACTTGTGCTTGAGTTTTGTTTCAAATTGTTTATTTCTCTAAAGATGGGGGTGGGATCCTGACAAAAATCTTCCAGTGGGATGTTAATGAATCACTTGTGGTCAGGTTCACAGACAAAAGCCCTTTATTAGCCTGAGCTGGGTCCGGTTTCCAGACTTTCTCTACCCTTTCTCATTTCACAAAGACCAAACAAGTCAGAGGTGGGGTTTTTCCAGGCCACACAGCACTGTAAGGTCTCCGAGTAGGAGGCTGCAATCAAGAAAGTTGCTTTAAGACTGGATCTGTTTCCTGGCTCACTATGACTCTTGTGACACTCGAATCCAATCTTTATTTGTTTAGGGCACACCACTCTCACCTTGTTTTAATGTCCTCCTTGAGCAGAAAACCAAGCCACCAGTCCTGGGCGGCCGAACTGGTGTCTGTTGTTGTAGTTCTGATCTCAACAGCCATGTGACAGGCAACATCCTCCAACCCTCATTTCTGGAGAATGCTTATTGTAGAGGCCGTTATCTACTGCCTATTATGTCTATGGATGCCCCTACCCACCCCTGTGTGTGTGTGTGTGTGTGTGTGTGTGTGTGTGCTTTAGACTGAGTTGACATATTATTAAAGTGGATTCCAAGAGATGATTAAATGTCAGATGTCAAGCATTTGCCTGAGTCTTTTATGTTCCTTATATACCTATTGCTCCTCCATAAAACTGAAATGTGACTACTCAAGTTGTTAAAGCAGAATTTTGAGCTTGCTGTTCTGTGAAAGTGTTGCTAAGAAGTCCAGGAGAAATTCAAAATTTCTTTTACATATTTACTTCTTAAATAAGATTGTTTTTCTTTCATCCTGTACAGAAATAGTTCACTTAGCAATAATAAAATTTTATATATGTAGGCAGCTGCATGCATGTATATAAATACATAAAATGGCATATGTAGCACTAGCATATAGTTCCATGCAATTACTTTTAAATGTTTGAAGTAGGAATATCGCTACAAACCCTTTTGAGATGAGGCATTGCTATGGAAGGGGTCGAAGCAGCCAAGCCTGTCATAACTTTAATTTTGAATTTTAAGTTATTCCAAAAGAAAAACAAATCCAGACACTAATACACTAATATTCGCACACTTTAAAGATCAGCCTAAGACCCTTGGTGGGATCCATCATGATTCTGATTGGGACCGGCAGGTGGTGGCCTGGCTTCCAGAGCCAGGGTGGCCTCTTTGTGCTCTGACACTGACTGTGCCTCTGAAGATATGACTTTGTCTCACTTTCCCTGGTTTCTGATCACTACATCTGTAAAATGCAAATAAACAAACCTTTGGAAACAGAGAACATGATCAAAAGTCAGTTCCTCTCACATCTGGCCCTAAGAGCCAGCGAATGTGTCAACTTGTGACTAGGCTGCATTAAATATTTCATTCCTAAGGAAAAGAAAATAAAAAAATAAATAACAAAAACCACCAAAGCAGCCACCAGCAACACAAAGGGGCTATGGCTGCCACTTACATCCTTCTCCCATATGACTCCTACTGAAAAGAGCTAGGATTGTAGCACTCCTAGAGCATCTTAATCCCTATTGTCATTTTGACTGCATGCCAAAACACCAAGATTGTAGTGGGACACTTCTGGGTGTGTTATGAGGATACTTCCAGAGAGGACTAAGAGAGAAGAGAAGGGTTATCTAAGCAACATGAGCCCAAACAATAAAAGAGGTTGATGGAGAAAGCCTGGGAGTACCATCTTTTAATTTCTCTGCATCCTGCATAGTTATGACATGAACAGTAATCCTTTCCCAAGACCGCTCAATGGCATGGTGCTCTGCCCAAGCATTTGGTGACAAGAAACCACTAACTGAACTATCTGAAATGCTGAGATCAAATAATTCCCCCTTAAGTTGACCATAGCAATCATTTATTCACAGTGATGAAAAAAATCACAAATCACTTTATATTCTGTCTCAAATCTTGTAAAATTCAGAGTGACTTGGGTCTGCCAAGTCTTCCCTAATCCAGCTTCATTTTTTCCTTTTCAACTCTTAAATCCCTATTCCTTTACCAACAGACGTTTTTGACTTCAAACAATATTCTCTATACTCTTAGATTTCAAGCTATCACATCCAGTAGATGCAACATTTTTCAAATCTTTCTCATTCTCACAGTCCTTTGTGTGTAGTGAGCTGGAGAAATCCTCTCTAGCTGATGCACCCTTATCTTGAATGTCAGGCACACATAGTATTGTCACTATAAAGTCCCTTTCTCTTTCCTCTGGGTTGTCTCCTGAATATTGTCTTTATTATTCAGCTTTTTAATTAATCATTTTGCTGTCCTTGGGCTTATGTTTCCTTCCCAAACTCATCTGTAAAGTTGTAACATGCAGCTCTTCTCTGCCAAAAAAAAGGCTCACAGATGCTATATTAATTATGAAACTGTTGGCCATTGGCTTGAGCTTCTTACTGGCTAGCTCTGACTTAATTATTAACCCATAACTACTATTCTATGTATTTCCACGTAGTCTTGGCTTACCAGACCTGCAGCTCCTTTGCCTGCTACATCATGACTGCTCAATGCCTTTGCAGAGAAAAGAGTGATTTCCTGTTTGTTCTTACTTATACACTGTTACTGCCCATTTAGGTCACTTCCTGCTGGTGGGTACAGACCTCCAGACCTCTATGGTTAGCCACTGGCAAGCTCCATTCTCTGACCCCCAGACAGGCGTTATTTATGCTAGAAGGATATCACTACATAAAGTCCTTTGAAGGGTTGCCTGTTTTGGGAGTCTTGTTTGTACAGCCATCCCACTGTGCCAATAAGGCCATCTTAAATCAAAGGATGGAGTCAGTCATTGGCTGACTGGGATTAGCTATAGAATTCTTGGAGGACTGAGGAGGCCAGCTAGAGAGAATAGAAATAGAGAAGAGAGGATTTCCAGGGCTGATGGTTGGGGAAAAACATGGAAAGAGGGTCAGCTAATGAACTCTGCTGTTTTTGGGTATATGCAGTCTTTATCTCAATTTCTAACTCCCAAGTTTTTTGTTACACCAGAACAATTTAGATACTCCATACAAGTGACTCTAAATGTTGCCTTTATCTCCTATCACTTGCTCAAGACTTGCTTAGGGCTTCCAAAGCGATATAAAAATCAACATAAAAATCTCGTGATTTTTATGTTGATATTTAAAAGCAAGTTGCCTAGCAATTTCAGTATTCCT